CACTTGAAAAGCCGAACAAATTTGATCACTTTCAATATGCAATCTAAAAAATTCGATCACTTTCGATTTGCAATCTCAAAAATTCGATCACTTTCAATATGCAGTCTCTGTAGTGGATGTCGCTGCGACACAGGCTTTTCGTTAGATCCAACTGTCCGAAGCTGCAACTTATTTCACGCAATACCGCTGAAGCAAGTGATGAACCCATTTGGATTTCTAGCATCCTACAACGGTTTCGATTCTGCCTGCTCCAATTCGCAATAGCTTCATGTCCCACAACATCGCGATGTACTAAAACAAATGTTCGGAACAGCGCAATTCCTCCACTAGATGTAACCGATAAAAAATATTAGGAAATTTCCATGTATTTTTCCGTGAACACCCGCCTGGTTTTATCGCATCCTGGCCAGTTGTAGCATTTTTCGATAAGACTAGAGTAAAGCTATCGAACAAGAAGCGTCTTTTTTCTTCGGCATTCGGCCCAGAAACGTACCATTGCTGCCGCTGTGCATCGCCAGGGCAGTATAACGTACCATTGTTTCCATACGTTTACATTCCGCCCTTGATCAATAGTGGCTCATACGGGAGAAAAGGGCAAAAGAAAGCGCGCAAGCACACCTTTCTTCTCGTAGATTCTTCTGTCCTTCCACTCCTTTGAAGTGTGCGATAAATGCGGCCTCTCGAGCCACAGCAAAAAAGCAGCAAACGCGGCTGAGGCTCATGATTCGCCACCAAAACAAACTGAAATTAAAACCTCGGCCTCCAGCTCTTGGGCAGTGCGCTTCCTTTGCCTCTAATCCGCTTCGGTCCACTTTGACGATATGATTGGTGGCTCCCTGGCAGAACGGGCATTCGGATCGCGGTTTCATCCAACTTTCGATGCACCCAAAGCAGAACAGGCGGTTGTAGGCATACTGCCCTCCAGTTGGATATTTCAGTTGGCTCAGGCAGACCGTATAATTACTGCGACCAGTACTCGCGTTTGCCAGCATTTTCACGCCAGTAGATTCGCCTAGGCGCTTCTGAGAGGAGTCGCTTTGTTCTCAGGCGCAACCGGTTGGGGCAGCCAAACGATGTGGAACTGATATTCACATGCGATATTTGTCATTTATATGTTCGCTTGTTCAGCAAAAATGTAAATGACGAATAATGCGCATGAATATGCAAATTTGCATATTTCACAAAGATTGTAAAATTCTATCAGGGGAGAGCATTTCTGCACACAGCCAACCCTACCAGGGAGTTATTCATTTCACGTATATTCACTGGAGGCGCGTACTAATTTAAAATTTCTAGTTTCCACAACTTAAAAGCTTTCTAGAACTTAAAATTCAGCTTTCTAGCTTTTCGGATTCCCGAGTTAGCGACTTACCCTCAAAAAACTTTCATGGGCCCGTACGTGGGTAGCATGCGCGTAAGAGCGCCCATTTTGGGGATTGGGATCCGTACGTGCGTGTAGATTAATTCCCCAAAGTTTCAGTCCTGTAGCTCTTTTGTAGGTCTGGAGATTAAAAATTGTGACAGACGCACACACGGGCACACAAATGCACAGACACATAGACACACACAGACAACCACTCGTCAAATGCGCTTTCTGCATTGCATAGCTGCAAAAAACGCATAAATACAATAGCAGCGGCAACAACAACAAGAAACAGAATGTTAAATTTCTAGCGGTAATGCAGATGACTTGAATACCATCACAAAACTTTGAGATATATCACCCCGTACGAACTGGTCATGTGCACTTGAAATATGTAGCGATC